TATTTATGATTACTTCAAACATATGAGCAACAGAGTTATAACAGTATTTTGAGTAAAGCAGCGTTATCTTTCCATACTTGGCAGGCTAACATGCTTTTTATTGTAGCGCTGGAAGGGTGCTGTTCTGGAACATGTTGCCTTTGAAAAGAATGCAGAGTAATACTAAACGGAAATCTCAGAGTATTTTGCTATCATAAAGAGGGTGGTTGTATATGCAGTATCCTTGGTGCATAGAAAGAATACAGAGTGGGAAGAGAAGGTAGTGTCATCTTACAAATGTGACCTTATTAAGAACGTTGTTGAAATAATTTGGCTCGCATTTTTGTCAGTGCTTAAAAAAAAGTGAATGCATGGAAAATGTTCAGGAAAGACTTGATTCTGTCTTACAGTCAGTCTCCTTAGTCATATCCAGGAGAAGGTTAAGAAGCAACTTAAATACTTTGATATTTTCCTACATGAGATAGATTTCTGATGGACAGTTCTTTAATGTAAAAAGTTTTAATGAGCTCAACTGTTTGAGATGGAAATTGGACAAATTCAGATAGGAAATAAGTTACAATTGTTAAATGGGGCAATTAATCTTTGAAACAATTTACCTAGGATGTGAAGCATTCTGTCTCAGTATAAAGACTCTGTAAAAGAGATTCTTCTCTCTCAATCTTAGAGATAAACTAGAAGTTACATACTTGATGCAAAAATTGTTTGATACCTTTTTACCTAGCTCATTATGCAGGAGACTGAAGTTAGAGGAACATGATGGTCTCCACAAGAGCTCGCATCATTTGAAATTTATCTTTATGAGAATAAAGCACGTGATTAGATGGCAGCAATTAATTTTCTGCAAGTGATGTGAATTTGTTGGGCAATTTTCATATTGTTATCAGCACTACTTTGCAAGGTGATTAGTACTTTTAAACTTTGGGGATAGGGTTGATTAGAGAACATGAGGATCTAGGCTTATTGAAAGAGCTTTAAACTAGATTTGAAGGGAGAAAGGGATAAAACCAGGCTCCCTAGAGGTAAGCCTGGGACAGCATGCCAATGTTTGAGGGAGGGTGTGATAGCGAGGTCCTTCAGTCTGACGTCTCAGTGGAGGTAGGGGATGGAGATCCATGCGGCAGCAAAGCCACAAGGGTTATTAATGTGTTAGAAACCACGGAAGAACCTGAGAATGGTCACGTAGGAATTAAGGCTTCTCCTCCCAAAAAGGTGGCAGGATCAATACCTAACTGAAGTGCATCTACACCAATGCACACAGCATGGGCCACAAACAGGAGGAGGTGGAAGCCATTGTGCAGCAGGAAAACTATGATACAGTTGCCGTCATGGAAACACGGTGGGATGACCTGCACAACTGGAGTGCCGCAATGGATGGCTATAAACTCTTCAGAAGGGACAGGCAAGGAAGGAGAGGTGGTGGGGTAGCCCTGTACGTTAGGGAGTATTTTGATTATCTAGAGCTTAATGATGGTGATGATAGAGTTGAGTGTTTATGGGTAAGAATCAGGGGGAAGGCCAATAAGGTAGATACAATGGTGGGACTCTGTTATAGACCACCCAACCAGGATGAAGAGGGAGAAAAAATGTTCTACAAGCAGCTGGGAGAAGTCTCACAATCACTAGACCTTGTTGTCATGGGGGACTTCAACATACCAGATATCTGCTGGAAATACAACACAGCAGAGAGGAAACAGTCCAGGAGGTTCCTGGAACATGTGGAAAAACTTCCTGACACAGCCGGTGAGTGAGCTAACTAGGGAAGGCACCCCACTGGACCTGTTGCTTGAGAACAGAGAAGGAATTGTGGGTGATGGGATGGCTGGAGGCCATCTTGGGCATAGCGATCATGAAATAATAGAGTTTTCGCTTCTTGGAGAAGTAAGGAGAGGGGTCAGCAGAACTGCTCCCTGGGGCTTCCAGAGGGCAGAGTTTGGCCCGTTTAGGAGCCTGGTTGACAGAGTCCCTTGGGAGGCAGTCCTGAAGGGCAAAGGAGTCCAGGAAGGCTGGACATTCCTCAAGAAGGAAATCTTAAAGGTGCAGGAGCAGGCCATCCCCATCTGCCAAAAGACAAGCTGGCAGGGAAGAAGACCAGCCTGGCTGCCCAGAGACCTTTGGCTGGAACTTAGGGAGGAAAAAAAAAAAAAGTTTGGAGACCTTTGGAAGAAGAGACAGGCAACTCAGGACAATTACAAGGACATCATGAGGTTATGCAGGGAGAAAATTAGAAAGACCAAAGTCCAACTAGAACTTAATCTGGCTACTGCTGTAAAAGAGAGTAAAAAATGTTTCTATAAATACATTAGCAACAGAAGGAGGGCTAAGGAGAATCTCCATCCTTTATTGGATGTGGAGGGAAGCATAGTGACAAAGGATGAGGAAAAAGCTGAGGTACTTAACGCTACCTTTTCCTGAATCTTTAGTGGTAAGACCAGTTGTTCTCTGGGTACCCAACCCCCTGAGCTGGAAGACAGGGACGGGGAGCAGAATGAACCCCTGTAATCCAAGGGGAAATGGTTAGCAACCTGCTACACCACTTAGACACACACAAGTCTATGGGGCCAGGTGGGATCCACCCAAGGGTACTGAGGGAGCTGGCAAAAGTGCTCACCAAGCTGCTTTCAATCATTTGTCAGCAGTCCTGGCTAACTGGGGAGGTCCCAGTTGACTGGAGATTAGCAAGTGTGACACCAATCTACAAGAACAGCTGGAAGGAGGATCCAGGGAACTACAGGCCTGTCAGTCTGACCTCAGTGACAGGGAAGGTTATGGAGCAGATCATCTTGAGTGCCACCACATGAAACGTACAGGATAACCAGGCAATCAGGCCCAGTCAGCATGGGTTTATGAAAGGCGGGTCCTGCTTGAATAACCTGGTATCTTTCTATGACAAGGTGAACCGCTTAGTGGATGAGGGAAAGGCCGTGGATGTTGTCTGCCTAGACTTTAGTAAAGCCTTTGACACTGTTTCCAGCATTCTCCTGGAGAAACTGGCTACTTGTGGCTTGGACACAAAGCAAACTTTGTGGCTGGAGCACAGGAGGCTGAGGGGAGACCTTATCGCTCTCTACAGCTACCTGAAAGGAGGTTTTGGGCCTTGGTCTCTTCTCCCAAGTAAGAAGTGATAGGACAAGAGGAAATGGCCTCAGGTTGTGCCAGGGGAGGTTTAGATTCGATATTAGGAAAAATTTCTTCACCAGGAGAGTTGTCAAGCACTGGAGCAGGCTGCCCAGGGAAGTGGTTGAGTCACCATCCCTGGAGGTATTTAAAAGATGTGTAGATGTGGCACTTAGGGCATGGTTTAATGGTGGACTTGCCAGTGTTACGTTAACGGTTGGACTTGATCTTAAAAGTCTTTTCCAGCCTAAATGATTCTATGATTCTGTCTTAGACTCTTAATTCTGAGAGATCATGGACTTGCTAGGAGGTATTCAACAGCACAAATGGTTTTCCAAATTCAACACCTCAAGGGCTTTTTAATGCAAAAAGTAGAATAGACTGTTTCAGTTGGAGGGTACCTGCAATGAACATCTAGTCAACTGCCTGACTAATTCAGGGCTAACCAAGTTAAAGCATATTGTTAAGGGCATTGTCCAAATGCCTCTTAAACATTGACAGGCTTGGGGCACTGACAACCTCTCTAAGAACCCTGTTCCAGTCTTGACCACCCTCTCGGTAAAGAAATGCTTCCTAATATGCAGTCTGAACCTCCCCTGGTGCACCTTTGGACCAGTGTGATGATTTCCTCCCCCGCCCCCAAAAGAATCTGAACACTTGCCATTCCTATATGCAGACTTTGCTGCACAGCCAGCACTTCAGAAAACTCAAAGTGATGTTTTGGCATCTGTAGCACTTCCTCAGGTCCACGCATCAGAATATTTGAACTCATCCAAAATGCTTGTTCATGCATCTGCCTCTCATAAATGTTTTGAGGGATAAGGCACGTCTGCAAAACTTACTTGGCTCCTCTAAAGCAAAATCTTTTTCTATTTTTTTTTTATTCCGGAAAGATCTGTTTAAGCTCTTGCCAGTTCTATGCACAGAAGTTTTTTGAGTATTACCAAAGGAATGTCTGTCGTGACGGTGCTTGTAAGATGTTGCCATCTGGAGCAGTCCTGAACAATTGCCATGGAATTAGTTGGAATTCACAGAAAGGCATCCACTGCACCTTTGTAAATATTCATGGGTCAAGGCTTTGCCAAGGCTGAAATAGAAAAGTATAGATGTTGCTGTATTCTTAATTAATAGTGCATTCCCCTTTTAATTCATGTATAAATTGCAAAATGTGTTATTGGTACAATAATAAAAATATGTTGTCGTCAAAAGGGAAAAACAATGTAAGGGGTAGCAGTGTCGCCAGCTAACTGTTTATGGATGGTGTATATAATAAAAGCTAATGAAATTCTCACCTGCCATATAAAGGTCAGTTTTAATGTGGTTGATTTGCCCACCCCTTCCTCTAATTATGTATTCTTTACTTAATAGTCTTACAGTTTCTGAAAGCCAATGTTACCTGAAAATAAATTTAGAATAAGGAATTGTTACATACTTTCAAGAACGTTTAGGATCATCCAGACTTTTCCAACTTTGTATTTAATATGCAAAGTTGTGTGGGTTTTTTTCTCAAGTGACATTTAATTCTTTTTTAGTGAACTTAGAGTGTTTTCTCTTTTTCTCAGAGCATTTTAGTTCTGTTTAAACTCTTATGTCCAGGTACTTCTCTTGACTCTCTGGCCTCAAGCTTTGAAATTACTAGTTGGAGGGATAAGGTGTAGGTGGATGTTTCTAGCTTATTTAAATACCTGTTTTTATGAAGCAGTGAAAAATGGGCATTTTACGTAACATTGTAAATTTCCAATAATCTGCTGTAATTTAGAAGTGAAAGAGAGATTCTTTACTAAACTTTCATAACTGAAATCATTGTCTGCTACTGTATACTTCAGATAGAATAGTGCATGTGTTAACTACTGAATTAATTTTTGTCATCTCCGCCTCCATTCCAGGTGCAGGACAAATTTCGTTTGGACCTGTCTGATGAAGAAGCTGTCCATTATATGCAGAGTCTAATTGATGAAAGTGTCCATGCCCTCTTTGCAGCTGTGGTGGAGCAGATACACAAGTTTGCACAGGTGAGATATCTTCTCAGTTGGTGGTCTCTGTGAAAGCTCGCTCAGTAAGGTGAGAGGTTGCGAGTGGTAAGTTCAAGACTTAACTTCATTGTTTATGATCTTTTTAGTTCATTTTCCAACAAGTTAAAAGTGTGTTCTTGCTGCCAGGACTGGAGAGCAAGCCGTTGGTAGTTCTAGAAAATTTTTTAAAGCACCTTAGCAGACATGCTAAGTGGGATGTAATTGGTTGTATTACTAAGGGTAAGAACTGCAAATTGGAAAGCTGGAGTTCTGAGGGAAGGATCCAGAACTTCCTTAGCTTTCATTCCCAAAGTAAATGAGTGACAATAACTTCCTTTCTTTCATACCTTTGCTAGACTTCCTTAACTGTGCATTCCAGCTAGTCATTTTGATCATTGACAGACATAGCAGCTTGTGCAGAAGGGGCCAGGAACTCTGCTTGTAACAGCATCCACATCTTCTGCAATGTTGATACTGTACCTTAGAACATGGTCCCTAGCAGCTACGTGGACAGCTATCCCCTATGTCAGAGGCGTCGGCACAGAAGGGAGGTCCTGAGGGATACTGCAGTTTTTCAGATTTGGGGCTGTAGGGGGTGGCTGAGACCTCTTGCTGGGGCAGTGGGAATTGGGCTCCTTGCTTGCAGGAGGTGTGCGGTGGTGGAATGTCTACATCACCAAGTAAAGGAGCTGTGGGAGGAGGTCAGCGAACTGCACAGTATCAGGGCTGACAAGAAAGAGATTGACCAGAACTTCATAGAGGCCTTGAGATAGAAGAGCCTGAACCTCTAGCTGCACTGAAGGAGGAGCAAGAATACATTGTGCTCATTGAGTTAGGAAATGGAGACTCCTGGGATGGTGATGGCTGGAACCTTGAGACTTCTGGTATTAGGAGGGATGGCTTCTCCTCTATGTGCAGATCTGCAGAATAGATTCAAGGTGATTGGGGGTAGTCAGCATGGATTTAGAAAAGGGAAATCATGCCTGACCAGCCTGATGGCCACTTAAGATAAAAAGCCTAGCTCAGTGAACCGGGTGAGAGCTTTAGGTATTCTTTGTCTTGATTTTTCACAAGGCTTTTACACTGTCTTCCATAATATCATCATAAACAAACTGGAGCAATACAGACTAGAGAACTGGACAGTGATGTGGATTGGAAACTGGTCACTGTGCTGGGATTAGAAGGTTGTGATCAGTGGCACAAACTCCATCTGGAGGCCGGTCACTAGTGGTTTACTCCAAGGGTTGATACTGAGGCCAGAATTGTTTAACATCATTAATGACCTGGATGATGGGTTGAAGTGCACCCTCAGCAAGTTTGCAGACAATGCAAATCCGGGAGGAGTAGCTGATACACCAGAAGCGTGTGCTGCCATTCACAGGGACCTTGACAGGCTGGAGAAATGACTGCACAGGAACCTCTTGAAGTTCACCAAAGGGGAAGTGCCGAGTACTGCATCTGGTGTGGAATAACCCCATGCACAAGCATAGGCAAGCGGGGGTAGGTGATAAGGTGGGAAGCAGCTTTTCAGAGAAAGCCCTGAAGGTTCTGGTGGATGAGTTGCACATGATGCTGACCGCTAGTATTGGTCAATGGCTCAATGTCTGGATGGAGGTTAGTGACAAGTGGTGTCCCTCAGGGGTCAGTATTGGGACCAGTGCTGTTTAATATCTTCATCAGTGATATAGACAGTGGGATTGAGTGCACCCTCAGCAAGTTTGCAGATGACAGCAAGCTGAGTTGATAAGCCTGAGGGATGGGATGCTGTCCAGAGGGACCTGGACAAGCTCAAGAAGTGGGCCTATGTGAACCTCATGAGGTTCAACAAGGCCAAGTGCAAGGTCCTGCACCTGGGTCTGGGAAACTCCTGGTATCAATACAGGCTGGGGGATGAAGGGATTGAAAGCAGCCCTGTGGAGAAGGATGTGGGGGTACTGGCGGATGAAAAGCTGGTTGTGAAATGGCAGTGTGTGCTCACAGCCCTGAAAGCCAACCATATCCTGGTCTGCATCAAAAGAAGTGTGACCAGCAGGTTAAGGGAGGTGATTCTGCCCCTCTACTCTGGTGAGACCCCACCTGCAGTACTGCTTCCAGCTCTGGAGTCCCCAGTACAGGAAAGATATAGACCTGTTGGAGTGAGTCCAGAGGAGGTCCACAAAAATGATCAGAGGGATGGAGCACCTCTCCTATGGGGACAGGCTGAGAGAGTTGGAGTTGTTCAGCCTGGAGAAGAGAAGGCTCTGGTAAGACCTGATTGTGGCCTTTCAGCACTTAAAGGGAGCTTATAAGAAAGATGGGGACTGACATTTTAGTAGGACCTGTAGCGATAGGACAAGGGGTAATGGTTTTAAACTAAAAGGGGCTAGATTCAGAGTAGATAAAAGGAAGAAATTTTTTACAATGAGGGTGGTGAAACACTGGAACAAGTTTGCCCAGAGAGGTGGTAGATGCCCCATCCCTGGAAACATTCAAGGTCAGCTTGGATGGGGCTCTGAGCAACCTCATCTAGTTGAAGATGTCCTTGCTCACTGCAGCAGAGTTGGACTAGATGACCTATAAAGGTCCCTTCCAACCCAAACTATTCTATGATTCTATGCAGCAACATGATCTCATGGTGAAGAAGGGCCACCAGAGTGTTCCTGGTGTAGGTAGAGGCATGTGATCCTTCCCTTCTACCCAGTGCTACGTGAGATACACCAAAAGGTGCTGTGCCCCTTTTGGGCTCCCCAGTACAGGAGACATGGCCATACTGGAGCGAGTCCAGCAAAGGGCCATGGAGATGATTAAGCACTTGGAGCATCTGTCATACGAGGAGAGGCTGAGAGAGCTGGGACTGTTCAGCCTGGAGAAAAGAAGGCTCAGGGGGATCTTATCAATGCGTATAAATACCTGATGGAAGGGAGTAAAGAAGATGGAGTCAGATTCTTTTCAGTGGAGCCCAGTGACAGGACAAGAGACAATGGGCACAAACTGAAAGACAGGAAAATTCATCTAAACATAAAGAACTCTTTTTTTACTGTGAGGGTAATCAAACGCTGGGACAGGTTTGCCAGAGAGGTGGCGGAGTCTCCATCTGTGGAGATACTTAAAATCCAACAGCACAATGTCCTGAGCAGCCTATTGTGTTTGATCCTGCTTGAGCAGGGGGGTTGGACTAAATGATCTCTGGAGGTTCCATGCACCCTCACACACTATCTGATTCTTGCTAATGGTCTGGGGTGACAATAAATTATTGTCTTTACTGTTTCTATTATTAAAATTTACCCTTGCTCTAGTATGGAGAATGAAATGTTTAACCACACATATGTGTGCTGTCTTACTACAAGCCACAATAAGACAATAAAATGTTTAATTCTCACGTTGAATAAATCTGTGTTCACAAAAGCATTTCTTCTTCGAATTTACAATGGTTTTTCCCTAAAATCATCTGACATATTTAGTTTGTGTTTATCAGGGATTTAAGATATTACATTGTTTGCCTTAAGTATTAGACTCATGACAAGAAATGGAATTGAGAGGAAAAATGAAACCAATCTGAAAAGCCAGTCATTATCTCAGGTTTTTTTATTGATTCTTTCTTCAAAAGACTGATCAAAGTCTGATATGAACCAAGGAAAAGTATTTTTATGGCTATGCATTTTGCTAAAGGTCTTCCAACTAATATGTTGTTTCCTACAAACTTTATTTTTATTTTGAAGAACTGCACTATAGTGCAGGGTAAGAAGCAAAAATGTCATTTCCATCTGCATATATATTTAATAAAGGTGATCTTTTACGTGATGTGAAAAAAAGGAATGTAATTATGCGAAAATGTTGCAAAATTTGCTGTCATTTATTATGGATTGCTTTGATCATAGGATGGAGGACCATAATTTCATAAGACAAAGTGAAAAATGCCTAGCATCTACCTTGGGGTTCAAAAAAAAAAACAAACCAACCCAGCCATTACAAATATTCAAGATTAAAATTTTAAGTGCTTCCAATATGTGTGTAGACCTTGCTTTTAATCCCATACTGACAGTCACTTTTTTTAAGACATGTCTTTTTACTTCATTGGTTTTAGGTGACTGCCAGACTCTCCCAGATAATTGTTATTGCATTTGTGAAGCTGTATTAGTAAGTCAGAGCTTACAGGTTTGATTTAGGTGACCTTTTCTTTTTCCATTCAGACTTGTTCTTGCTTGACCTTTCTTCAGCACTTAAAACTGCTTTTAAAATCACAGGACAGATTTGTTCAGAATATTTAAAAGTACCCAAGAATTTGAACCCCAGGCTTCTAGCTGCCAGGAATGGTGTTCTAAGCAAGAGGCTGATACATACAGCAGCAGGCACCAGTTGCATCTTCCTTTCACATTTTTGGGAGTTAAAAAGCAAGCCCACAGTGTGTATTGCACTTTGGATACCAAATAAGCAGATATGACAGCCACTAATGCAGGCTTGATCCAGTTGTCTCATTTGGGGGTTTTTATCTCTCCAGCTGGCTGATGCTGAGTTCCAGCATGGAGACTTTTGGGCTGCTTTTCCTGAGGCCCTGAATTCTCGTGTACTGCTGCGGAGTTTGCTACCTATATGCCTTTAGCTTTCCTTTCTACTTTTGGGATCAGGTGCCTAAAATGAAAACAATAGTGTGTTGCTCTGTAAGTGCTTAAGGCGTCTCTTGGCTCCACGTGATGTCGGATTCTTCTGCTAGTTTTGGAGTTCAGATTATTGCCTTCATGTATGTTCTGTAAACAGTTACACGTGCAGGCTTCCGCCTGCAAGAATACTGGATGTTTATAAGAGTGAGAAGGATACAAAAAGAATAGTCACAGATTAATCAGCGGTTGACAAGTCTTAAGAATCTGAGCTCAATGTATGTATTTTTTAAAAAACTTACCAGAAAAATCCATCAAAATAAAATGTAATTAATGTCTGTTTATATTACAAGTGAAATAGGACACTTTTTAGTGATATTTAGTACTTCATTAGTCAAAATCATGATCTTTCCTTTTTGTCTAAGGTGGTCTTAAGAATTTGTTGCGGGAGTCTTCACAGAGTCTGTAAATCATTGAACAAATGAACAAATAATGCATCATTGAATTTGCTGTAAAGGGGTCATCTTACACAATGGCCAATTGAAGCTTGCAATTTGTTCATGTATAATGCGGCAATGAATTGCCAATGGCCTTGCTCTTAATAGTAATGTAAGTTGTCAAAAAAAACCCCACCACACTACACAGGTATTATGACACAAGCATAAACAGCAGATTTTGGCCTAATGCTGCCACACAATTTTTCCTTTGAAATGCCCTTCAACATGTTTTTTTGTTTATCGATAGATATTTATTCTCTTACTGCCTTCAAAATAGGCCTACAAGCAATCGGTGTCGCCTACTGCAACAGTTAAGAGCTTTTTAATAAGGTTGGTTATTATAGTAACTGTTGTGTATCACCATTCTATATGCCACTCTATAGTAAGTAAAGCTCTTGGATAGAGCAGTCTAGATATTTTGGTATTGGCTTAGAATTGTTATTTTGTAACAAAAATGTAAACTGAGTTCAGTTTAAAGCTGTGTTATGCAGCCTTTAGTTTAGTTTCTAATACATCTCTAATCTATTATCTTACCAGATATTTTACAGATCTTTTTATGTAGTACTTGTCTCCTTCTTAATGGTTATCAAAAAACTGTTGTCTCAAAAGTAAATAAATTTAACATTTAGAATAAGTTAATGGAGTTGTACAATAGTGCTCAAGAGGAGAAAAAGTACATACTAATTTTAGTTGATACTAATGAAGACTGGATAGCCGTTTCTCCCTGGAGAGTCATTTTCATTTTAACAGCATTATTTATTTCTGTAGAGGAAGGAAACAATCTCCAGTTGAAGTGACTAATTTCACATTTTATTTCCCTTGTAAATTTACAAGTCAAGTCAGTTACATTCAGGGCTCATGCTAAACAGTGATTAAAAAAGTGAAAGCTTGGGGGATGAGGGGTGTCCCACCTAAAATGTAGGAGTACAACTTGGGGTTGTACTAATACTTGGCTGCTGTCTGCTTAGGAACAGACTCAGTTTAAGCTGTAAATGTTACCTGGCTTTAGAATATCTCCAAGCTGTGGTCCCAGTGCTGCTGCATCCTGGAATGCAGCTGTGGTTCCTTTCCTTCAGGACAGGGCTTCTGTTTTCCTTCTGTTGGATGCCAAAATAAAATAGGGAACATCTACCAGCAGGATTGTGTAGATTGGATGAAGCCGTTTGTGAAGAGACAGATAAGTTGGTTTCCATGCTGTTTGCTCTCCTGAAGCGTTGTGAAAATCGCCTGCCTTTAGGCATTTCACCATGTTTTTAAACACAGAGTTCAATTTATGCATAACTTTTGTTTCTGAGAGTAAGCCAAGTTGAATAAATGCTGTTCTATCTGTTTTTTGTTTTCTTTTAGTATTGGAGAAAATAAGCCTTTTGCCTACCTGTGGTGGAAACAAGCAAATGCTCAAGAAAGAGACTTTCTCAAGCCCTTGTGGACTTCACCAAACAGTTTTGGAAAGCAAAAGCTGCAGTTTTGGTAGCGTGGAGAATTGAGAGCTCAGGAGGTAGAGAGGCTTTTTTGAGTCTCTGTTCATTGAAGGTTTAAAAACAACCATTTTTTAAAGGAAAATGGTTGTTTATACCATCCTTGGGGCTCAGATGCTATGGCATTTCTTTCCACTGAAAACATTTGAGCCTCAAAAGTTGAAGTAAGCAACTTCCTCTCAAGCCAAAGATAACTGGAAGAGGCTGCATTTGATGGTAAATTCTTGTACCTGTTAATATATTTTCTTATTTAAAAATAGAAATCATTGCTGTACTGAACAAGAGTATGTACAAAGTTAGAACAGTGAGGTTACAGTTCCTCAGTGCAGAAAAAAACACAAAACTATGGCAATCTCCTCTCTTCCCTTCCCACCAACTTTGTTCCGTGAGTAAGTTTTAATGTAATGCGTATGATCCTTTATTTCCCACCTTGGGCAATGTTATCAGTTAGAAAGGACAATCATTTCTCCCCTGCTTACAAAAATGTTTTTAAGTGCTGATAAGTTAGCCAGCTGTAGGCAGCCAATTAAATCATCACTAACAGGCTCAGCAACCAGAATGCACAGTGAGCGGTTCAGTATTTCACACCTTAACTCTGAATGTTTTCTGTACAGTGATTATATATTCTTGACTCTAATAAAGTCTTTGTTGTTGCAGTCTTGAGGTGTTCTGTTTTGTCTTTTTAATCTTACCTGCTGAGACATGGCATACTAGAGGATTATGTTCATAACTCTTGGCTTTTTGCAAGGATTTTCACTTCTCAGTTCGCTTGATGCAGGAATAAGGCCACTCATAAAATGACTTTTGTGCCACATGTTGAGTTCATAATGAATCTGATTTGAATGATCAACAATGTAATTAGCTCTTCATAAACGTGTGGCTCTCTTCAAAGAGTGCTCTTACACTCCTGTATTATTTTTTTTAATAACAATTCAAGTGAGGAAGAAATCCCTCCCAATTACAAAGATAAGAAGGACTGATTTGAATCTGAATCTGACTGATATTTGTGAGTCAGTCTTGCTTTGTGCTGCTTTTGCTAGCAAACACCAGAAGAGCTTTGATGGAGGAAAATCTACTAGGGCTGTGATGGGCCCTTAGTTATTTTAGCATATTACTCAAATTTGCCAGTTAACCACAACATTGGTTCAGCCCCTCTTTTCCCCTATATCTGCAACTTAGAGGAACTGTGTTACCCTAGTTACTTAGTGCTTGTGTTAGCTGGCAAAACACAATGCCACAGGCGAGCTACAGTAGTACCTCTTATCTTTACCTGGCTTTTCTTCTGAGAAGTAGTAATTACCATTTTCTCATGGGTTTTTTTTGGTCTTACTTCATCTGGCAGAAATACCGATTTCTCTACTGCCTCCATTTCTCATGAACTCATTTTACATGCAGTACTTTGTGGTATCTTCCAAGGATATTTCTGAGAGCATGGACTTCTCAGACACTCAGAGTAAATTCTGCAAAAAAAAAAAATTGTCTTTTTTTTAATTTGTTTTGAAGGGGCATCCTACATGCTCACACAACTTTGATTTGTATGTTGTAGCCACACTTTATTTGACTGAGTTCTGAACTCCTGATCCCCAGCCCTTCCCACTGTATATATTCTAGGATTTTTCCTCTATTTCTTTTGAAGAAAACTTCCTCTTCCCCCTGCCCAAGACTAATTATGGCCATGAGCCGCTCTACCAGTTGACCAGACAGGCCAAGGATGACTCCTTGTTAAAACCCAAAAGACATCATCGGCCGGATCCTACAGCACATTCCACTTTGCAGAGAGTTTTATAAAGTGTTAAATATAACTTTTGTAAACACATTATGAATTAATACATGTTTTTTCACTATGCCTTGTGGTTTAAAATTAACGCAATAACCTGTTCATATGCTGGACTATGCAACAGCCTGTTAAAACTGTACGCTAAGTCAGTTATAAATGTTAGCATGTGAACCCAAAATGAAATCTGAGTATCACAGGTAAGGCTTAAGAAGACCCTGACTTCACTGTAAATCACTATTTTCTAAATGGAGAACATCAGGCACAGAAATGGAAAAGCTTGCCTGAGTCAGTGGAACATAATCCAACCAGTGTGTTCTTTCTGCTTGTTGAGTCACTCTGCTTATATTTTCAGTGTATTTTCCAAACAATTTTGTAGAACATGTACCAGCTGAGCACTGACAAACTAACTGGATATGTCTCTGATCCAACTAGTGCCTTTTTTGGGGGCTGATCTGCATAGTCTGTTCCGAGGTGCTCTGAACCCTTACAGCACGAAGAACAGGACAGCACTGGGACTGCTACAATATACTAGATGTAAGTAAATTTATTACTTTAAGCCTTGTGTTCTAAATACCAAATACTGTTGAAAATTGTTCTTTGAAGTCCACACATCAAAAGATTTTTTTATATATATATATATATATATCTTTTTATTCCTCATATACAAAGTAAGTTCTGACTGTTTTGCAAAATCTTATGGCTCTTAGCATTTCGTGCAGCATCATCTATTTAAGGTAAAACAGAAAAAACAAAACTGGGGGGAGTAAGCTATTTTGTTTTAAATGAAGGGTTTTCTTTTTCGGTATGTTTGTCTAAAGCTTCTACTTCTGGAGTAAGAATGTTTAATAGTTTATCTATCGTGGCTCGATATCTCTGTGTAATCCAGTGCTGTGAATATCTTACTTATCTGTCTCTAATAACTTCTGAGTCCCTTCAATAACTATTACTGATTTTGTCTTGAGGAGTACAAGTCTTAAAGGTGAAATCCTTCTACATTTCACAAAGGTAGATCCCCAGTCAGACAAAGGTCCCCAGGGGGATGTCAGACAGCAGTTTCACCCTGCACATGTATTTGCATGTATGCATATGTGGGGCTGCATGCAAACACAAAATTCTGCGTAGAGTGAGGCTGTGAGGTCCATCACATGTATCAAAGCATGATGCAGTAGCTAGTAGGAAACCAGGCTGTACCAGTTGTGTTGTAGAATAACTTGTCAAAAGTCATCCTATTAAGTCTCTCCAGGAAGTACTGCAGAGAAAAAGAACAGAACAGTCAAAAAAATAATTTTTGGCACAGGCTTGTTTTACCTAGCAGTTGTATTTTGTATAACTAGAGGTAAAAAGTACTATAAAGCCAGCTTGTGGGTGCTTTATTTGCCTTTCAACATCTATCTTGGTTTCATCCTGATTTTATTTTCTTCTGGAATCTCTAGTGGTCTTTCCCTTGGGATCAAGGGTGAGGGAAGCAAAAGAAATTGCTCTTTTTTTTTTTCCCTCCCCTACCTATAGACTGTCATTGGTTGCTTTCAACTGCCAGTGCTTCAGGAGCAGAAAGTGGCAGTCGTCTTTTCTTTTTTGTGGGGAGGAAGCAGTAATTGCCAAAGTAGTTTTTGGGGGGGGGGGAGTTAGGGGAGTAAGAAAGAGAGGGACGGGCCCTTGGTTTTAATATAAAAGGCATATACCCTTTTGGCACAAAATGTCCCGGTTCTTGCAGACAGTTACCTGTCTTTGTTCTTCTTGTGTGCAGTCTAAAATAAAAAGCACTTTTGCAAGGCTTTGGAGGAATAATGGCTATGGAAAAGGGAAGGAGGGACAGAGAATGGGAATCTTAAGACCTCGCAGAGTGGGGGTAGCAGCAAAGAGAGGTAGTATCACTAAATGGCCTTCCTTTTGTAGTCAGCAGAGGTTTTACTCACAAGACCCAGTGTCATCACTGGATGGTAAAATACCTTGGTTATTATGAAGTATCTGAAGCGCGTACATTTAAGGAGTCTTAAGGGAGTCATCGAAAACAGATTGCAGGTGGATTGTGTTAAAATAGATTTTTGTAACCTCTTCAGCTGATGTGATGATTCTTTGTAATAGTGAAGCTACTTGAAGTGCAATATTGGTGTCCTCCTGTCCTTCCAAGCATCGGTGATTTAGAAAGGACTCTTCCCGGGGGAGGAAGAAATTTCACTTTGGAGGGTAAAATACCGAACCCCTCTTGGTTCTAGAGAATCGAGCAGCGACACGGTTCACCTGCATGGGTTCAAACCTGAAATGGCAGGAACAGTGGTTGGAGAGGAGGTAATAGCTCATCTACGCACAGACATTAATCAGTTAAGCTGTGTGTGGGATGGTCCTTTCCAAAGTGAATTAAGCTATACCACAGGGAGGTACTTAAATTCTGAATAAAACCTCTCCACAGCTAGAAGTTGTGCAAAAATTAACAGAGCCACTTTGAATTCCTTCCCTTGACAGAAATGTGTTTGTCCTAAATTTTTCCCCATAGCCCTCGTCAATGGTGAGGGATCAGAAGATGGTGATTTTACAGACTTGCTCTGAGGAGGATGTTCAATTCATAAACTACAGTGCACGGAAAGTGAAGTGATGTGAAGGGAGGGCTGAGCCAATGTGGGGACTCAGGGGAGCTCTGAGATCAGTTCTTCCGTGGGCGAGCCATTCAGTTTGCTCCAGCCTGTAGTCCTCAAAGTGACAGTTGGATAACGGCACTTTTCCCCATCTCGCTAGGTGCTTAGACTTTAATTGGAATACGTAATAGGTAAATCATATGGATACACGTTCCACAGTGTCAAACAAGCTGCTTCATCTGTCCTTGATCTATAAAATAGGAAGAGTTTTTGTGCAGTCCTTTCTTCAGTGTGTCTTCTTTCACTGGGAATCAGATTGTGAAGTTAATTGTAACCAAAGGCTTTTATCTCCCGTGTCTGTTTAATATAACTTCTCTCGCTGATTAGAGACTGAAGAACCCATATTGCGGAAGAAAAATAGCTTTTTTTTATAATAGCTTTCTTTTCTGGCACAGTCATATATAACAGTTTTCTAGCTGAGAAGGTGGGAAGTAATTAGGGAAAAATCACTGCTTTTAACAAACCATTCACAAACTACTTCCCTTTGAACTTGAGGTGGAATAACAAGCTCCATGTCTACGTGCAGGTATAGAGAGGTGCCTACTTAATCTTGCCTAGCTGGTGTTGTAGCACCCTGTGACAAGGGCACTGTGTCCCTAGGACAGGACAAGACAGAGCTTTTTTTCTCTTCCAGTAAATACTGGATTGTTTTTTTCCCCTATATCTGGTGGTGTCAACTGTATTCATTCAGTCCAGTCAGCTGTCTGTCACCTTTCTAATGCTGTATCGTCATCAGCTGACATACGAGGGAGAGATTGCTGATAAAAGCACAACTAGTCTAGTAGCAGTGTCTATTCCCTGAAGTAGGCAGCTTCCATTTCAGCTTGAATTTGGGATTTTTTTCACTCTGGCTGTCCCTGCTGGGAGCCATTCTTGTGTGGATAACTGTTTCGCTTCTAACACTCAGGTCTGATCATGCAGTGACTGACTCGGGTACTAAGTTTTCTGACCCAGCAGAGGTGAAGGGGAGGTGGTTGATGCTGTAATGATTATCTGATTCTTTCACCAACCTCAAGGGTGAGGACAGCAGCATGCATGGCAGAAAGCTCTTTCTTTAAAGGAGTGACTCAGCTGAGGTCTCTGACCAGGTTCTGCCAAGGCAGCATTACAATGGAAGCTAATTCAGTTTCTTTTCCAAGGGAAAGCACAACAACAGACCTTGGGACAATGAATGAGGTGGTCTTAAAAATAAAATACGTGGCAGAGAGCTGGCTACCGTAAGAGCTGTACTTGTTGAAAT